ATGATAGCTAACCCACAGTGAAAAGTATGTAACTTTTTGAAGGGAATCTGGAATAGTTACATACACTGAAATGAATTAAGGTTGGACTTCATATCATAACCTCTGAAATAACAAAATAATTGTACTAAAAGTTATTTAATTATAGGTCATTTGTTTACAGATAATAGAAACTAAAAAGGGGGAAACTTAATGGATGTTTAGAAGGGTAGCTCACAGAATACAAGGAAAATTCAAATAACAGGACCAGAGAAAGGACAAAGGTAACTAGAGAGACCTGAACTGCAGGAGTCCAGAGACCTTCATTTTGCCATTAATATTTCCAGCTCACAGCTCTCTCTGTGGAAACCTCTCTGCTTTACTTCTAAGTGGGCAAAACAGTTCCTTGAGCAAGGCAGCTACCATGCCCTGTTATTCAGGATTTTTGTGTCTAATTCCAAGTTCCTGAGAAAAGGGATCTCAGCTGTCCAGAAGCCTGTAAATTGGCTGGACCCAGGTCACATGCCCACCTCTAATTTAACTGACAGTGGTCTATAGAAGGCAGAGGTGATATCCTTCTGAGTTTACACATAGACTCTTTAAGAAAGGAATATGGGAAGGCAGTATTGGTGTGTCTGTGGCATGCTACTATATTACCTATCATACAAAGCCTTCCTATTAACGTTTAAAATTAAATGTGATCAGCAATTAATACAGTCTTATCCATATTATAGATCAGGAAGCTGGCATAGTCCCTAGCAAATAGAAGGCATTCAATAAATCTTTGCTGAATTTTAAAAAGAATGCAGTCGCTTCACTCCCATTAGGAGGCAACCTAAAGTCATAGTCAGCTACTGAATATTTCATCCCGAAGTGATGCCATAGAACTAATATATTTAGAATCAACAGTAATAAGAATCCACAGGGGGACCAGCAGTTAGTGTAATGGCTATGTTGCTGGACTCCCATATAGTCGACTGCAGTTCAAGTCCTGGACCCGGTGGCTTAGACTTATGCCAGGCGCATGTGCGTGTGTGTGTGCCCAAGGTCCCGAGAGGAGAATGGAGGAGAAGATATTGCAGCATGGCCATCCCCCCAGGGGATGATTTCTCGCTTTCTGTCTCTGTTTCTCTCTGTCTTTCTAGCAAGCGCACGCACCCTATAGCAAAAACCTCTCCAAAAAAAAAAGGAAAAAAAAAAAAAGAATCCACAGGGAAGGACTGGCAAGTGGAGTGGTGGTTAAGGGCACTAAACTTCCCACATGGACAACCATGGTTCAAGTCTTGGATTTGGCGGCTTTCTCTCTCTCTCTCTCTCTCTCTCTGTCCCTCTCTGGTCAAATTGAAAATAAATAAAGTAAGTATGTAAGTTAAACAAAATAATTCTTTAAAAAAAAAAAAAAAGTCCACAGCGAAGGACCAGCAGATGATGTAACGGTTACGTAGCTAGACTCCCACATAGTCAACTGTGGTTTGAGTCCTGGACCCGGCAACTTAAAACTCACACCAGGCATGTATGCATGCATGCCCAAAATCCCAAGAGGATACTAGAGGAGAAGGGACTGTGGTGTGGCCATCACCCTGGGGAATGATTTCTTACTTTCTGTTTATCTGGTGAGTGCACTCGTCCTGTAGCAAAAATCTCTCAAATAAATAAATAAATAAATAAATAAATCCACAGGGACTCCTTCCCTGTCATATGAGGTTCACATGACTATTCACCATCTTGTTATCCATGAATAAATGATAACTCAAACATTCCCAATATACCATATACTCAAACCAAAACCAGGGTAACTGTACATTTTTAATTCCCATTTTACAAATAGGGAAAAACGAAAAATCTTCCAGAATAATACTGTGCTTTAATCTCAGATCTGAATATATATGGTGTGTGTGTGTGTGTGTGTGTGTGTATGTGTGTGTATTTTTTTCTTTCTTTTTTTTTTTAACAAGTTTTTACCTTAGGGCATATGTGCTCACCAGAGAGAGACAGTCAGTGAGAGAAAAAGTGAGAAATCACCTCCCAATGGGGATGGCCATGCTACAATCCCTTCTCCTCCATTCTTCTCCAGGGATCTTGGACATGCAAGCATATGTGCTGGCGTGATTCTGAAGCCACTGGGTCCAGGACCCAAACCACAGTTGGCCATGTGGAAGTCCAGCAATGCAACCCCTATGCCACCTGTAGGTCCCAGTCTGGGACTCAACCACAGTATGCCATGTGGGAGTCCAGCTATGCCATCTGCTGGCCCAATATATGGTATATCTTGTTAAAAAGGATTTGTAAGGTAAATAATAGGACTTATATCTTGCCATTAAATGCCTCTTCATGTTTTAAGAATGTCACTATTATTTGCAATTATTCATTACATGAAAAATATAGATGCTGGTAACATAAAAGAAAGTACAAACAGCTAACTCTCAGGGAAACTGGGGGAGGGGGCTAACATGGAATCACTATGGGATACAGGGTGTCAGGATGCCCAGAAAGGAGATTAGTAGTCCATAGTGGGAATGGCAAAGCAGCTGGCTAAACTGCTACTATTTTATTTTGCAAGTCAGAGTCTACCTACGGGGATGTTCTAAGGTATTGTAAGCTTAATTCTCAAACTGTTAGAAACATAATTCTCATATAAGTAGTAAGCATGCGTCCAAGTTTTATTTAACTCATTAACAAGGGAACTAGAAGAATGACAGTTCAATAAGAAGAGATTAATGGAAAAATGAATGCTAGTTAATGTCCTACAGAACAATAAAAATATAGCTTCTATTTTTTAAAAATCTTCTTCTCTGCCTACCACTCCCCCCAACATTATTTTGCCTTATCAGTTTTCTATGCACTAGCCTCTAAACTTACAGAGTCATAAGATGTCTGGGTTTTAAACAACTGTATGTGGTACATTGAATAGTATTTTCTGAACGGTCAGGAAGAAAGCTTATTAAAAACTCTTGCATGACATTAAAAGATCATGCTTTTTTAAGAGACATATTTTTGCTACTTGCTATAGGGCATATGCCTGGCATGAGACTGATGCCACCAGGTCCAGAACTCGAACCATGGTTGACTACATGGGAGTGCAGCGATATAACCATTACACCATCTGCTGGTCCCACGGTCATATTTTTTTGCCTTGCTCTGGATTCATTTTCCTGAAGAACATTTTGAAGACAAATCTATTATATAAAATGCATTGGCTATTTCTTGTATCCTTAAGTATTAAAAGGAAGAAAAACTTGAACAGCTATCTGTCACTGCAGAAGAACTATTCCTAAGATAAGTCACGGGATCAGCAGATGACATAATAGTTATGTCACTGGACTCCCATGTAATCAACAATGGTTCAAAACAACCAGTGGCCTAAAACACACCAGACACCTGTGTGTGCATGCCTAACATCCCGAGAGGAGAATGGAGAAGGGACTGCAGCCATACCATAGGGGGTGATTTCTCTCTTTATGCCTCTCCAGCAAGTACACAAACCAGATAGCAAAAAGTCTTTTAAAAAAGATATCTCACTTGCCTACTCATGAGATCACATTTTGTGGCTTATCCATATTGTCTTCGTTCACCTTAGGCTAACATCACTTACATATATTTTTAGGCTGTAGTACAGGAAATGATAGGGAAGGGAGTTAGGAAAGGAGTTTCAGGTTTTATTTATATATTCACATCTGCTTACAACTTCATAAGACAAGCCCATGCTATGAGGCTTGGCTTATCTCATGTTGACTAAGTACTATGAAATAAGTGAATAAAAAACTTTAAATTGCTGATATATGCCTCTCATACATACCCAATACTTTCCAGGAGGGCAATTTCTGTGGTTAAGACAAATTGGTATGTGGTCCCATACACAAAAGCAGCTTCCATGACTGCTCTGTGCTCTGGAAAAGAATAAGGAAATTGGGAGAGAAGAGGAATTAGTTTGTGTGACTCTACTTAAACTTCTATTCTGAGTATTACCCTACACCTTTCTATACTCTATTATAGTTAAAAAGAAAATCCTTTGCAATGATTCCAGTTGTGAAAATGCCAACAGTTAAGAAAGTTTTATATATATATATATATAAAGTCTATTCTAGTCAAGGTTCGAGAAGAATTAAGAGAGAGTAGAAAATGAGTTATATTTGAGAACATAACACATGACAAATTTGTGGCAATTTCCTCTCAGTAGCAGGGAAGAGCATATGAATCTACCATACAACTTCCATATGTTAGATTTTATATATGTCTATAGCTGTGTGTATCATTTCTGGGTTAGTTATTTTTCAACCCAACTTCTCCTTATTTTAAAGAGACATACAATTCTACAAGGTGAATTAAGAAAAACGGCTATTTCTCTACTCTCCATTGCAGTTCTCAAGGGATAAGAACTTTTGAAATTCTTACTATTCTTTTGGAACTTA